TATTTTAAACTTACGAAAACTCCCAATTACATAATACAACAATCACTATTTTAATAAATCGAACATGCATAAAATCATAGCATATTATACGACGCAATTAATTATCGGGCACGTGTACGCAGCGGAAAACAAAAATTTTATGCGATTTAAACGACTTTAAAGCACATAAGCACATGCCCGACAAATTAAATCAATTAATTGCGTACCTTTGCGCTTCCAGCGAAATTAAAACAACAACATGCTTGATTACTTAATCGAAATTAAATCAATTAGAATGCTCGCGTTTAAATCAAATAATCATGCTCGCAATAATAAAACCAATTTCATGTAGACACATAAAGTCATACAAGTTTCTTATTAAAACGAACATGCATATATTAATTTAAACGTAACCGAATCGAATGACAATAGATTCGAAACATTACCTCTTGAAGCGTGAGGTAGGCGCACTTAGCAAGTCGAGATTGCTACGGAAACCAATCCGTACAATCGGGGCAGCAGCGGTGCAGCGGCAAGAGCGGCGAGACGGCTAGCTGCTCTTCCCACTCCTATTGATCCAATCTGTTTGCTGATCTGAAATTACAGCCTTGCTCCGACTTCCGTATCTCCATGCTTGTTTACTGGATGAATAATTCCTTCTGGACGATGGTAGATTTATGAGTCTTGAAGCTGCTGTCAAAATTTCACGTCCATCCGATCACCGGTTGATTTATGGCGAATTTTCTCGCTGGACAGCGAAGAAAATCCGAGAGCAGTTTTTCAGAATTGCCTTCTCGCATCTTCGATTCTTCAATCTTCCTCCTCTTGGATTTCACCTCGTATACTTCGATCTACTAAACACGTGGCACTAGACACGTAATAGTCAGAATAACGGAAGAAAAGAAAGAAGGAAAGGAATACCGAAAGAGATCGGCCAACGGATGGCCGATTCCGGCGATTTTCCGGCGACGATGGCGCGGTGGCCGAGGGGAGATGGCCGAGCGTGAGAGACGGAGCGGCTAGGGTTTTTGGACGTGTTGTATGTTTGTGCAAGACCTATAAATCATGTATTTATAGTCCCTTGCATAAAACCCTAACGGGCTTAAGTTGGACCGGGCCCAACAGCTTAAGCTCGTTAGTTCCTTCACTTGCTCGTCTCTCTCAATTCAATGATCGGAAAATCGTAACAATTACATATTCGGATTCATTATAATGTCCTCGTCATTACGAGTGCCATCTTTCATTTTCCAACTTTCCAAAAGTGGAAACCCTAGTTCAGTGCACTTTCTAAATTTGGAAACTTCCCGATTTAGAAAGTTCACTACAACTTTCGCCTATTCTTTTCCTTTTCTTATTCTCATTCATAATTCCAAATTACGAATGTTGGACCCAATCATATTGACTTCCAATCATGCAAAGATAAACCATTTTATCTCTGACCGTTTATTCAAAGATCTCATGTGCACGAGCAGTGTGACCCTCGATGGTTCAGGTGTAAGCTAGCCGTGGGCCCACAACCCTTTGTGGTCAAAACTCGTCCCCTTAGAGTTACGATTAAGATGAAACTCGTTTCACCTTAACCACCCAACGAATCAAGATTGGCGTCTAGCAACTACGCGTCATGATTCCCTAGATACAAATGAAGTGCCTGCAAGAACCTTCAGATATAGTTAACGTACAGTACGGTCCCTTCGATTCATATGTCCCGATCGAACTAGAGGCATTGGTTCATCGAGACCTCTTTATATGTTCGATGACGGTGCGATCGTTCTAAGTGTTGTAATCCTTACGTGCATGACTTAGAGAATCGAATTCTCTAATCATCACTTAGTCAGCTCTGGCCAGAGACTTAGAATGATTACAAACTTTCAGAACACACAGGACATCCAAGACTATTCTAGCGATCGAATCCCCGACTACAATGCACAGACCTCCCACTAGATTTCGGACTGCACGAACACTGGCCCTTGGGATGGTCCTCGGTGGAACTCAGGGACAGGTCACGATACAGCTGGTCCTCTAGTGAAGTCACGGTGATGTCTAGGTCATAAGGACTAATGGTGTACAACTATACCATAGATATCTCTACTCGATTATTGGGAACCACTTAGAGATTTCTAGGGTGAGGGAGTTCAGTGAACTCGTCAACTTACGAGCACCCACTTATGCATGCCGATATCACAATACCGTTTACTGATGAGATGCAGTACACATACACTAAGTGCTAGTCTTAATGGGAAAGGCCGATATCCTCATTAGTGGCGTAACCCTTCGACTAGGAACACGTTTAACAGTTATAATACTTAAGTAAATATCTCACGATCCTAACGATCAATTACTAGTACTTGTAATAACTGTAAGGACTATATCTATGCTTGTGACAAAGGGACAAAGATATAGAATGCCAATGTGTTTTATCATTAATACGAATAAAGGTTCGTTTATTACAATAATAAATACGAAAGACCACAGCCACAGGTTGGCTTGTTGGTCACCTACTCTAACAATCTCCCACTTGACCTAAAGCCAACTACCCATAAACCGCAATCCCATCGACTCTCGATGTTTCTCATGGACCGATCTTGGTAAAGGCTTCGTGAAGGGGTCTGCAACGTTCTCTTCCGAGGTGACTCGTTCTACCTTAACTTCACCTTTATCAATGATCTCTCGGATCATATGATACTTTCTCAGAATATGCTTCAACTTCTGATGAGATCTCGGCTCCTTAGCTTGCGCCAAGGCTCCGGTGTTATCACAGTACAACGGTACTGGATCACTAGCATTAGGAATGACACCCAACTCTTGGATGAACTTCCTTATCCAAGTCCCATCTTTTGCAGCTTCGGACGCTGCAATGTATTCCGCTTCGGTAGTGGAATCGGCCGTCGTGCTTTTCTTGGAACTCTTCCAACACACGGCACCACCATTAAGCGTGAATATAAATCCAGAATTCGACTTTGAGTCGTCCACGTCCGATTGAAAACTAGAGTCAGTGAAACCCTCTAATTTCAACTCGGCACCCCCATTGACCAAAAATATATCCTTAGTCCTTCGCAAGTACTTGAGGATATCTTTCACGGCTTTCCAGTGAGCCGGGCCGGGGTTAGACTGATATCTACTTGTGACACTCACAGCATACGCAATATCGGGTCTCGTACATAGCATGCCATACATTATGCTTCCTATGGCAGAAGCATAGGGCGTCCTTTTCATCTCCTCGATTTCACTAGGTGTTTGGGGACACATAGATTTCGAGAGACGAACCCCATGGGACATTGGCAAGAATCCCTTCTTGGATTCTTCCATGCTAAACCGTTTCATAACGGTGTCTATGTACAGGCTTTGGGATAAGCCAAGCATCTTTCTTGCTCTATCTCTATAGATGCGTATTCCTAATACATAAGATGCTTCTCCCAAATCCTTCATTGAGAAACGTGTGGACAACCATGCTTTCGTTTGCTGTAACATTCCTACGTCATTCCCAATGAGTAGAATGTCATCAACGTAAAGCACTAGAAATATTACTGCCCTCCCACTAACCTTCTTGTATACACAAGGTTCCTCCGGATTCTTCTCAAAATCAAACTCTTTGATAGTTGAGTCGAACCTAATGTTCCAACTACGGGATGCTTGCTTCAATCCATAAATGGATCGCTGGAGCTTGCAAACCTTTTGCTCACTTCCAGAAGATATGAAGCCTTCCGGCTGCGCCATGTAAATTTCTTCCTCAATATCTCCATTAAGGAAGGCGGTCTTCACATCCATTTGCCATATCTCGTAGTCGTACCACGCAGCTATGGCCAGCAAAATCCTAATGGACTTCAGCATCGCGACTGGCGAAAAAGTTTCCTCATAGTCAACGCCTTGCCTTTGAGTGTAACCTTTCGCTACCAATCTAGCTTTATAGGTCGATACCTTTCCATCCACTCCAATTTTGTTCTTATAGATCCACTTGCAGCCTATAGGAACAATTCCCTTACGTGGATCTACCAAGGTCCACACCTTGTTGGAGTACATGGAGTCCATTTCGGATTTCATGGCAGTTAGCCAATGTCCCATGTCCGCATCCGATACGGCCTCATTGTATGTTCTTGGATCTTGTCCAAGATCAACATGATCTTCATCATTTTCGAGGAGGAATAACCTATCCGGCATTTTCCGAACTCTTTCGGATCTACGTACCGTAGGTTCAGGAGGTATATTAGTGGTTTGTTGTATTGGTTCGATTACTTGTTCTTGCGTTTGAACTTCACTTTGTGGTTCTTGAACTACTTCAAGTTCTATCATGCTGCCCTTTCTATCGGATAGAAACTCCCTTTCCAAAAAGGTGTCATGAAATGTTTGAATAAAACAGACTCTTGCCAAGAGTTGAGGAACTATTTTTCAAAATTTTTGGTAACCTCGATAAAAATGTTATTTACCCATCTTGGGTAGAAATGGAATTTTGTCATAACTTGATATCATCATCTTCAATGAAGAATTTTTCAAATTTTGACTTGATATCATCATCTTCAATGAAGAATTTTTCAAATTTTGAGGACAAAATTTATTTTAAGGGGGGAAGATTGTAACGCCCCGCATTTTCATAAGCACATTATATGAAATTATATTGAGTAAATTGATAATTTCCAATTCATGAATTAATTAGTAACTTTTGCGTACCCTAAATGATTACGTGGTTTATATGCACTGTGCTATTTTATGTTATGTCTATATATGAGCAATGTGTGATCAACTCGATTTGATTGAATGATTAAGTAATTCTATTTATGTGATTAAATGCATTATGTGTTTTAAATGAATAATTAATCTATGCAATGTACCTTTAATTGTTTTACGATTTATGGTTTAATGAATGTAGATGCATATATGAATATTGTGTATATATATATGCTACATGGGTTAAGATGTAGTAATTAATCTATGCATTAATCTCTAATTGTTATAGATACATGTATTATGATTTGTGTATGATTGCCCTGTATGTGCCATATATGCATGTTTAGAGTATGTAGTCTAGTGTACAACATATTTTCTGAATTGCTATTAGGACCCCCATGGTTTTAGATATTGCACAATAGCCCTTGGGAAACTTCCTCCTAATTTCCTAGTATAAGCCAAGGAAGATTCCTCCTCTTTCCTTCTCTATTTTCCCTACGGGAATTCCGAGAAGAAAGGAAATTTTGGGTCTTCACTCTTCTTCCTCCCATCCCTCGGCAGCCTCACCCCGAAGATTCAACGAGAACTCATCAAAGTTTCCCCTTCTTTCTTGGGAAGTTTCACATCTAATTAATGGGATTAATTTCCCTATATAATCCGCAGACTATCGAGAGGATCAGAGGGGGGGGATAGCTCCAAGTTCAGCCCCAACAGCCTTCAGCCAAAGCTCCGAGAATCTCCTTCGGTTTCCTCTTCTTCCTTGTATTCGATTTTCTTCAAAGAGGTAAGGACTTTTGGTACTAAATGAATTAATGATAATAATAAGATGATGTGATTTAATTGATTAGTATGCTTAGGAATCGGATTTAGGGATCTAGGTCATGAAACATAGATTTCAACGAACCCTAATTCGATTTCCAGATTCGTAGCCTCAAGTTCCAGTGCATGTTTCATCGATGATTTATTTTCTGAAAATTATGAAATTAATTGTGCGTGTAGATATTTCTGTTAGCTTCGTTTTGATATATGGTATGCGTAATTTGGAATTATATTGATCAAGTTATGAACCGTTTTCTGAAACTGCAGGATTTCTGAGTCATCTATGATTTATGTGTTAAATTATATTTTATCTTGTTCCGATTCGTGCGATTCCAACTGGATATGTTTATAGACTTATAAATCTGATTCTCCGTGAAATTTCATGGTGTTTCGTTGAAAGAATGATTTAATTAGTATTTTTAAAGTTGAATGTTCTGTTCTGATATTCTGCTGGTGTTACTGTACTAAATGAATTATTTCTCTCCCATGGATAGGTATTTTACTGAACTGTTTTAATATGGTATAAATAACCTATATGTGAACGTTGTGTGATAATTTCATTAGGTTTGTATGTACGGTTTAAGAGATATGAATTTTCAAAGTTGAAGTACCGAAGCTGCCAGATTTCCTTGTAATTCTTTGGAATACAGTATGTGGATTTGAATTTCATATATTATGTGCGTATGTTCTATTATGATTATCGTATGCTTATATGTTAACATAAATGTATAGCTTAGGAAACGCATGAATGATGCATTTAAGATAATCACGTTGGCATGTTTTAACTATGAAAGTGGTTTCATGAAATAATATGATAATCCCCTGCCCTTGTATGTGATACCTCTTGTATGTTGTACGTGCACGTTGCATAATATATGTGAATTATAAGAATGTTTATTTATGCAAATTGAATTGATTATGTGAGTTATTTGGAGAAGAAACTCTAGGAAGAAAATGGTTTGAATATGTTTGTTAGCTATGTGGTTATGTGTTATATGGTTACGCGTTTTATGCTAAGTGCAAGTTTGAACTAACATGGTTATATTATTGGAGTCGTATGATTTGTCATTTATGTTATTGCATGGTCAGTATAGGAAAGTCGAAAGTAAAGTCGAAAGTCAGAATCTTAATATGGTTATCGGTCGAGTAGACACGGGAATACGATGGGCCAGTATTCCAACTACGGTACTATAGACTAAGAGTGGGTAGCTCCCCTCAAAACAGGCTCAGAATATCGACGTCTATTACCGATAACCATGTTATGAATCTGCTAGGGATACCATCACATTATAGTAATTGTATTGACATAAGTATGAGTATGTTTATTTATACGTTTTGAATTGTTTATATGATTTGTCATTTATGATATTGCATGGTCAGTATAGGAAGTCAGAATCTTAAATGGCTATCGGTCGAGTAGACACGGAAATACGGAGGGGCCGGTATTCCAACTACGGTACTATAGACTATAGAGTGGATAGCTTCCATTAATAAACGGGCTCAGAATATCGACGTCTATTACCGATAACCATGTTATGAATCTGATAGGTATCCCGTCATATTGCATCTATACGTTTAAATTGTTAATACTGACTATGGGGACTTTATGTCTATATGTGCTACGGCTATTGGGTCGTTGCATCCCCATGTTAATACAATTTTTTGTATATGTGAATACACTTTGTGAGTATACGTTAAGCAGGGAAGCTCTTCGTCCATGTCGAGGTCGAGGTTCTCGAAACGGTTATGGAGGCTAGCGGAGCAGAGTTCGAGGAATTTCGAGACTTTATGCAAATCGAGTGTTTTAAAGGATTATAATAGTCAATTTCGTTTTAAGTGTTTAATATGAGAAGTTGATAAATACTTTTATAATGTACTCTGATTTAGGAATCTAGTCTATTAAACCGGGGTGTATGTAAAATAAAGTTACTTTATCTTCCGCTGTATTACAAGTATTGCTTTAAAACCCCGTCTATGTTGAAGTAGCACTCTTTATGAAAATTCTAGTTCAAGTGTGGGTTATGTTTTGAAGAAAGAAAAATGCTTTGACGATTTCCAAACTTATTTTCTAAAGGATCAATTAAGATCCGAAAGTTTTAATAAAGTCCATTTTTTTAAAAATTGTTTTTAATCATATAAACGACATGGAGGGTGTTACAAGAGTTGCCATTAAGAAAATAAAATCAAATTAGAAGAGAGAATCCCTCAACGTCTTTGGTAGTGTCCACGAAGTCGAGCATAACTCTCTCATCCGGACTCCAAATCGACTGGTTCCGGTGGCATTAGAAAGCTATTTCAGTGGGCTACAATTCCCGTCTAACAACAAAATTCCAAATTCGGACTCGAACATGGTCAAAATTGGATAACAAAAGCGATCATGAAAATACGTACTACAATTCAAGGACGTGAATGCGCATCAAGAAACGTGCACAAAAACACTCGGTAGAAAGGATACGCACATGAGTAAAAGTTCAAAAGCATGCACAAAAGTACTCAAGCAAAAGTGCATTCCCAAAAAGGATCATGAAAACACAAACTACAATCCCAGGACATTAATACAAATCAACAAACATGCACAAACACGCTCCCTCAAATGGACATGCACAAAAACGTACTTGTAAAAAAACATGCGCAAAAGTGCATCCGAAACAACGTTCTTAAAAACACGAACTACAGTACTATGACTTTAATTCGCATCAACAGACAACAGCAAAAACACTAGATAAAAATGATACAATGAAGTGTAGCAATAATACTCCACGTTTACGTTTACGTGGATTATTGTTTGGGTTAATTTATGTTTCTGTTTTTATTGGTGGATTCGGTATCTTTTAGGTACAAATCGAAAATTAGGTGTCCAGGAAGCAAAAATGATCAAAGGGAAAGAAAAGAGTTGCAATTAAGAAAATAAAATCAAATTAGAAGAGAGAATCCCACAACATCTTTGTTAGTGTCCACGAAGTCGAGCATAACTCTCTCATCCGGACTCCAAATCGACTGGTTCCGGTGGCATTAGAAAGCTATTTCAGTGGGCTACAATTCCCGTCTAACGTCAAAATTCCAAATTCGGACTCGAACATGGTCAAAATTGGATAACAAAAGCGATCATGAAAATACGTACTACAATTCAAGGACGAGAATGCGCATCAAGAAACGTGCACAAAAACACTCGCTAGAAAAGATACGCACATGAGTAAAAGTTCAAAAGCATGCGCAAAAGTACTCAAGCAAAAGTGCATTCCCAAAAAGGATCATGAAAACACAAACTACAATCCCAGGACATTAATGCAAATCAACAAACATGCACAAACACGCTCCCTCAAATGGACATGCACAAAAACGTACATGTAAAAAAATATGCGCAAAAGTGCATCCGAAACAACGTTCTTAAAAACACGAATTACAATACTATGACTTTAATACGCATCAACAGACAACTGCAAAAACACTAGATAAAAAAGATACAATGGAGTGTAGCAATAATACTCGACGTTTACGTTTACGTGGATTTTTGTTTGGATTAATTTATATTTCTGTTTTTATTGGTGGATTTGGTATCTTTTAGGTACAAATCGAAAATTAGGTGTCCAGGAAGCAAAAATGATCAAAGGGTAAGAAAAGAGTTGCAATTAAGAAAATAAAATCAAATTAGAAGAGAGAATCCCACAACATCTTTGTTAGTGTCCACGAAGTCGAGCATAACTCTCTCATCCGAACTCCGAATCGACTGGTTCTGGTGGCATTAGAAAGCTATTTCAGTGGGCTACAATTCCCGTCTAACGTCAAAATTCCAAATTCGGACTCGAACATGGTCAAAATTGGATAACAAAAGCGATCATGAAAATACGTACTACAATTCAAGGACGAGAATGCGCATCAAGAAACGTGCACAAAAACACTCGCTAGAAAAGATACGCACATGAGTAAAAGTTCAAAAGCATGCACAAAAGTACTCAAGCAAAAGTGCATTCCCAAAAAGGATCATGAAAACACAAACTACAATCCCAGGACATTAATGCAAATCAACAAACATGCACAAACACGCTCCCTCAAATGGACATGCACAAAAACGTACATGTAAAAAAACATGCGCAAAAGTGCATCCGAAACAACGTTCTTAAAAACACGAACTACAATACTATGACTTTAATACGCATCAACAGACAACTGCAAAAACACTAGATAAAAAAGATACAATGGAGTGTAGCAATAATACTCGACGTTTACGTTTACGTGGATTTTTGTTTGGATTAATTTATACTTCTGTTTTTATTGGTGGATTTGGTATCTTTTAAGTACAAATTCGAAAATTAGGTGTCCAGGAAGCAAAAATGATCAAAGGGTAAGAAAAGAGATGCAATTAAGAAAATAAAATCAAATTAGAAGAGAGAATCCCTCAACATCTTTGGTAGTGTCCACGAAGTCGAGCATAACTCTGTCATCCGGACTCCAAATCGACTTGTTCCGGTGGCATTAGAAAGCTATTTCAGTGGGCTACAATTCCCGTCTAACGTCAAAATTCCAAATTCGGACTCGAACATGGTCAAAATTGGATAACAAAAGCGATCATTAAAATACGTACTACAATTCAAGGACGAGAATGCGCATCAAGAAACGTGCACAAAAACACTCGCTAGAAAAGACACGCACATGAGTAAAAGTTCAAAAGCATGCACAAAAGTACTCAAGCAAAAGTGCATTCCCAAAAAGGATAATGAAAACACAAACTACAATCCTAGAACATTAATACAAATAAAAAAACTTGCACATACACGCTCCCTCAAATGGACATGCACAAAAACGTACATGTAAAAAAACATGCGCAAAAGTGCATCCGAAACAACGTTCTTAAAAACACGAACTACAATACTATGACTTTAATACGCATCAACAGACAACAGCAAAAACACTAGATAAAAAAGATACAATGGAGTGTAGCAATAATTCTCGACGTTTACGTTTACGTGGATTATTGTTTGGGTTAATTTATGTTTCTATTTTTATTGGTTGATTTGGTATCTTTTAGGTACAAATCGAAAATTAGGTGTCCATGAAGCAAAAATGATCAAAGGGTAAGAAAAGAGTTGCAATTAAGAAAATAAAATCAAATTAGAAGAGAGAATCCCACAACATCTTTGTTAGTGTCCACGAAGTCGAGCATAACTCTCTCATCCGGGCTCCAAATTGACTGGTTCCGGTGGCATTAGAAAGATATTTCAGTGGGCTACAATTCCCGTCTAACGTCAAAATTCTAAATTCGGACTCGAACATGGTCAAAATTGGATAACAAAAGCGATCATGAAAATACGTACTACAATTCAAGGACGAGAATGCGCATCAAGAAACGTGCACAAAAACAGTCGCTAGAAAAGATACGCACATGAGTAAAAGTTCAAAAGCATGCACAAAAGTACTCAAGCAAAAGTGCATTCCCAAAAAGGATAATGACAACACAAACTACAATCCTAGGACATTAATACAAATAAACAAACATGCACATACACGCTCCCTCAAATGGACATGCACAAAAACGTACATGTAAAAAAACATGCGCAAAAGTGCATCCGAAACAACGTTCTTAAAAACACGAACTACAGTACTACGACTTTAATACGCATCAACAGACAACAACAAAAACACTAGATAAAAAAGATACAATGAAGTGTAGCAATAATACTCGACGTTTACGTTTACGTGGATTATTGTTTAGGTTAATTTATGTTTCTGTTTTTATTGGTGTATTTGGTATCTTTTAGGTACAAATCGAAAATTAGGTGTCCAGGAAGCAAAAATGATCAAAGGGAAAGAAAAGAGTTGCAATTAAGAAAATAAAATCAAATTAGAAGAGAGAATCCCACAACATCTTTGTTAGTGTCCACGAAGTCGAGCATAACTCTCTCATCCGGACTCCAAATCGACTGGTTCCGGTGGCATTAGAAAGCTATTTCAGTGGGCTACAATTCCCGTCTAACGTCAAAATTCCAAATTCGGACTCGAACATGGTCAAAATTGGATAACAAAAGCGATCATGAAAATACGTACTACAATTCAAGGACGAGAATGCGCATCAAGAAACGTGCACAAAAACACTCGCTAGAAAAGATACGCACATGAGTAAAAGTTCAAAAGCATGCACAAAAGTACTCAAGCAAAAGTGCATTCCCAAAAAGGATCATGAAAACACAAACTACAATCCCAGGACATTAATGCAAATCAACAAACATGCACAAACACGCTCCCTCAAATGGACATGCACAAAAACGTACATGTAAAAAAACATGCCCAAAAGTGCATCAGAAACAACGTTCTTAAAAACACGAACTACAATACTATGACTTTAATACGCATCAACAGACAACTGCAAAAACACTAGATAAAAAAGATACAATGGAGTGTAGCAATAATACTCGACGTTTACGTTTACGTGGATTTGTGTTTGGATTAATTTATATTTCTGTTTTTATGGGTGGATTTGGTATCTTTTAGGTACAAATCGAAAATTAGGTGTCTAGGAAGCAAAAATGATCAAAGGGTAAGAAAAGAGTTGTAATTAAGAAAATAAAATCAAATTAGAAGAGAGAATCCCTCAACATCTTTGGTAGTGTCCACGAAGTCGAGCATAACTCTCTCATCCGGACTCCAAATCGAATGGTTCCGGTGGCTTTAGAAAGCTATTTCAGTGGGCTACAATTCCCTTCTAACGTCAAAATTCCAAATTCGGACTCGAACATGGTCAAAATTGGATAACAAAAGCGATCATGAAAATACGTACTTCAACTCAAGGTCGTGGATGCGCATCAAGAAACGGGCACAAAAACACTCGCTAGAAAAGATACGCACATGAGTAAAAGTTCAAAAGCATGCACAAAAGTACTCACGCAAAAGTGCATTCGCGAAAAGGATCATGAAAACACAAACTACAATCCTAGGACATTAATACAAATCAACAAACATGCACAAACACGCTCCCTCAAATGGACATGCACAAAAACGTACATGTCAAAAAACATGCGCAAAAGTGCATCCGCAACAACATTCTTAAAAACACGAACTACAATACT